ATAGTGGGATTGACCGCACATTATAACGCCCCCACGGCTGAGCATGTTTGGTGGGACGGGGATTCGAACCCGCGACCCTCACCTGGCCATGGCTAGAAATAGAACGAGTATGTACTTGTACCACCTGTATATTGTTTGTATGATTATTTTCCCTTTGCGTGAACTCACTTAACTGTATAACAGAAGTTTACCAAACCCTAAAATAGCAGTAAAGACCAAGGTATTCCAAGCATTTACATCTAAACACTAAAACTTCTAATTAATTTTTTAAGTCTAGTAATCAAGCAAGATCACGTGGATGACGTAAGCCTCGGCATTGTAATTAACGTAGGTGATTATGAAATAACAAGAGAATGGGAGTTAAGACAGTATCATCATGGAATTTCTGACACGATGTTGTGTAAGTTTGTTTTTTAAATTACTTCTGTAGTTACAAGTGATGTTTACGAAGAAGTTTACTACATTATCACCCCTTGCTTTGAAATAACGTGTGTATAACTTTGCCAGCAGTACTTACATATACAAAACCAAAACAATTTACGTCCTTGTAAATCTTCTAAAGTCATGCACGTACAATCCCTGCTGTGAGACATGAAATACTATCAAATGAAGGGTCAGTTGAAAGGAGCAAGGTTAAAGGAAAGTTTACTCTATTTTTTTACAGCCTTCCAGAGAAATAATTAGCTTAATATAACGTGTTAACGCTATACTATAATTTTAGCCTACTGTTAGAATGATCAAACCCAAAGCTTGTCTTCACACTATGGATAAACCGTGAATAAGATGATATATACTGGAGATCGTTACCACCTACAGATTAAACTGACTTCAACTTATTTTACTTTACACCAGACTAGCTTTAATAGCGTTGCAACTCAAAAGTACAAATCCGTAAGTAATTATTGTTACCACCAAATAAATCATTTGTGGACTTTATAAAGATGTTCTTTCTCAAATCAACACTGTATTACTTTTAGAACTGTGGAAGAAATACTTTTATTTTATACTAATAATTCGATGAATTGGTGTCAATTTACACTTCAACTGCACCAACAAGCAATAACGAGAGTTATAAATCTTTTATAAAACTATCATCCAGCAACCTAGAGCCAATTTTATGTAGTATATCACTCAGTTGTGTAGTGAAGTTATAACCTAGAACCAATTTTATGTAGTATATCTCTCAGTTGTGTTGTAAATCAATGAAACCGGCCTGAAACCACCACTATCAAGTTCATCACTCAGTACTGTTGTAAAGAAACCAGCCTGGAACCACCTCTGTAGAGCTCATCACTGATCACTATTGTAAAGAAACCAACCTGGAACCAGCTCTATAGAGTTCATCACCCAGTACTGTTGTAAAGAAACCAACTTCGAACCAGCTCTATAGAGTTCATCACTGTTGTAAATAAACCAACCTGGAACCACCTCTGTAGAGCTCATCACTGATCACTATTGTAAAGAAACCAACCTGGAACCAGCTCTATAGAGTTCATCACCCAGTACTGTTGTAAAGAAACCAACTTAGAACCAGCTCTATAGAGTTCATCACTGTTGTAAATAAACCAACCTGGAACCACCTCTGTAGAGCTCATCACTCAGTACTGTTATGAAGGACAGGACGTAGTCTAGTGGCTTGTGTGCCAAATTGTGAATCATAAAATACAAGGATCCCGTTGCGATGCTGTGAAACTCTTTCAGCTGTGTATACATTATAAAAGAAACAATTAATCCTGTTATTCTATTGAAAGTCCTTCTAACAGTGGGTGACACTCATGGTTTCAGTTCCTCTGCTAAGTAGTTCAGAATTATGGGCCGCTATATCCGAACCTTTCAGCCAATGTGCTCTTTCATAAACAAGCAACCGTAAATGTTTTGTTGTAAAGAACTAAATGAAAGATATTACCACACGGAAGTACAGTATAAACTGTCTGTATTCCAATAAACCTGAAACGTTTTTTATGAAATTGTTTCAAACGATGCTTATTCAGTCTGAGTATACAGGGTGGGCAATAATTACGTGCTCTTTATCTGTAGAACAGTGTTGTGCCTCAAAGTTCCGTATAAGCTCCATTCAAAAGTGACATCTGTAATTTGTTACTCACTTCAACAGAATTAATAAAAAAGACAAACTAAAAGGGTTATTAATGTCAACTGAGGGTGCCAGTCAAAGAAACAAAAACTCTATAAAGGACGATGTTTGTTAATGTTCTCCTTCATTCTATCTTTTGTTGGTAAATCCCTAATGACCTCCTCAGATGCTAATTCCACACCCTGCTTTGTGGTCTGTAAAGAGAGCAATGCTGTAATATTCATTGTTTGGTTAGTTTCTTCACACACATTGCAATTAAAAAAAAAGCACTACCGATTTAGTAAACCAACTTAACCCTATACAATTACAAATGTGTCCATATATTCTCAGCTTTCTACACAAAGTTTTCAATTATTTTTACACCAAGGTTGCTTGTGGGTCCATGACTTTGGTAGTTACAGGGTCCTTAATGACACATAAGTCAGAAAAAAAAATAATATTACAATTATTTGAATATGGAAGCACATTGTGCTAATATAATAATAAGTTGTAAATAATGATTTGTAAGCATAATGAAGTGATTTATGTTTGGGGGAACATACTATACGTGTTGACAGAAAGTGGATCTTTCTCCTTCAGAAGAAGATAGACTGTCGAAATATGTAGTATGTTCCCCCAAATACAAATCACTTTCTTAACTTATAAATCGTCGTTTGCCAATTTATTATAATATTACAATTATTGTCTATAATGGCTGGTATCCTTATGCATTTTATATTTCAGAAAATGAGTGATTTCAAATTGTGGTTGGCACAAGTTGAAGATCTGGAACCTACTGTGAAAAATACCTGGAAACCCAGGTCTGGTTCGGAAAAGAAAATAATGCATTAAATTTATCACAAATGTTTTGAATTCAAGTTCACACTAGGAAGGTAAATACCATATATAGAACACATACATTTCCTATCTTCAGATCTGTTTACTTGTGCCCTCCCCCAGTCACAGTCTGCGGGCTTACAACGCTAGAAACCGGGTTTCGATACCCGTGGTGGGCAGAGCACAGATAGCCCATTGTGTAGCTTTATGCTTAATTACAAACAAACTGTTGATTTGCGTATTATCTTTTAGAACTGAAACCGACTATTTCGACCTTGTCTTTATTACGCCGGCCAGGAACCGGCGTACAAATGTAATATTTTCTACGTTATCCTTAAGTTTTCAAATTAATAATTGAAAACAGGTAGTAAAAGAAAAAAGAAAAGAAAACGAGTCGTGTAGGGCAACTTAAAAACCTCACGGGCATCCGGGTTTTCGACTACCCATGTCGACCTCTTAAGCAATCTTCTTTTTTACAGGAGTGTTGCAAGAGGCAGAAACATAAAACTGCTCAATATTATACTGCAGTGAGTGGTATAAAATCAAGGTTAATAACTAAAACGGTGTAACTCCAAAAGAGAGAATTTGAAAACACCTCCATATAAGCATATAGAGGACTTACATGGCTGAATAACCAAAAAACAACAACATTGGATAGGTACCGTGATACGGAAATATTAACTAGAAGTGTTAAATGTTTGATAAAATCATCCCAATAACAACAATAATAAACCCTCTTTAAGGATGCTAGCGGCCAGGAAGTAAAGAGGACATTTGCCCCCAAACGATCTGCAAAAGGCCTCTAAATCATCGTCAGAATTGTCCCCGGAAGGTTGGACATCCAGGGTTCCCCCCAAAAAAAATCATGGGATCTACAAATCTGGCCCTGATCCTTTCCACATTTAGAGGGAAGTGATAATATTTGTTGACTTTAAAGAAAAACAAACATAAAACTTTGGACCACTTTCATATACTGTACGAATAATTAATATGAAGTCAAGAATACTAAAGCACAAACAAAAATGTTTTACGATCTCATAACAATTCTATCAAAGACGTATAATTTTTGATACACTCAGGATAAAGTTAGTAAGTTACGTGACTGCATTCATTAAAATGTAACATCAAGATCTTAACTTCAGAGTTCGTGTTAAAAAAGAAACTTTGTAGAATTTTTACGGCACCTATACGGTTAAGTAGCATACGATATTGAAAGAACTAGGTAGTTTATAGGGGAAAATCACACAAGGACTATTCTGACGTGTCTTATTTTATATATTTAACACTAAAATGACATTATAGTTTTTCCAGGGTTATATCACTTTCTTATTTATTTATAATTACTCGATCCAGAAATATACTACTTCATACTAATAAGGGGCCGGGCGTGGTCAGTAGTTTGCGTGCCCGAACTATGAATTCGAGGGCTCATGATTCGCTCCTCGTTGTTACAAAATTACGTTTCGCATATTGGAGCAGTGGTTGCGCAATAAGAATGACGGTCAAATAGCACTATTTGGTCAGACAGGAATAGCCTAAGAGTTAACGGTGGGTGCTGTTGACTAGCTGCCTTTCCTTCAGTCCATCAGGTAAAAATTAGGTACGGCTGTGTGAAGGTGGCCTTTGTGTAGCTTTGTGCGAACGCAAACAAACAGTCAAAGCAGAATAATGTCGACACATCTCTTGCGTCATGTTTTGACATTTGAACTTTGACAGATACAGAAAGATAAAAGAAAATAAACTACAATTAAAATTTATAACATAGTTTGAAACCCAAGAATAATAAGAAATGTCTCAAGTGGTGTTTGTCTTGTCGCGTCATCTTTTTTATGGGCAAACTTTTATATCTAAACCAGTGATGTATTTAGTTAGATCCCCGTCGCTAGAGGTTCTTGCAAAACAGTCACTATCAAAGGAACAGTTCTTTCAACATGTGTTTGCACAGCCTTGACTCTTCACTCCAGGTAGCATATTGATAAGCATCACAAACATACCTGGTTAACCCTTTTCTTTTCTGGTTTGTCCTTGAACTGTTCTTGAGCGTATTGGAACAACAGCAACCCCTAGTGTGGCATCGTCGTATATATACAGACATCTAAACACCTGTTACGGGAAATAAAATCAAGCATTCGTTCATACAGCTGCAAATAATAATAAGGTTTCAATAAGAAAGATAGTTGGAGTTGAAAATGAAGAACGAAGTTATTGTTCTGATGCTTATCTGTGGATTGTGTAAGAGCCAGTATTTAGCTCCTGGAAACTGTCCGCGACCAGAAGTCGTGAAAAACCTCGATCTGAACAAGGTTAGAGCATAAAACTTTTAAAGTCATCTTATTAAAACCAGTTAATTACGTTACTTAAAAACTACCATTTTGTACTTTCTCTTAAACTGTAGATTTGTTTTTATATAGCAAGCAGAGTCTTGGTGTTCTATTTGTCGTTATGTATATTTTATATACGTAAATGCTTGCACACAAACAGGTATTATTATATAAATTATTAATAGCTTCGGTCAAAACAAGCTACCCACTTAGGTCAGAACGAAAACTCAACACAGTATTTGATTTTTTCATCAAATTTCACACAAAGCTACTCGAGAACTACCTGTGCTAGCCGTCTCTAATTCTGAAGTGATAGGCAGAAGGTAGCTCTTCAACACCATCCACCGCCAACTCTTTGGCTACTATATTTTCCAAAGGACAGTTAGATTGACCGTCTCATTACACCCCAACATCTGAGAGGGCGAGCATATTCGGTGACGAGATTCGAACCCACAACCCGCAGATTTTGAATCAAACACCTAAACAACCAGACCATGAAAGGTATTAGCGTGGTAAATAATGTATCTAATTTAATATATATATTAGTCTAACTAGAAACATGAAATGTCGTATTGTATGGCAAAACACACGTTTCTAGATAGGCTGTTACTGAATCTTCTGATGAATGTCATTTTTGTTTCTATGGCCAAACTGGCCTCGGAGACTACCTGTAGCCGTATCTAATTTTGAACTACTGACCAGAGGGAGATCAACCAGCCATCATACACACTATGGGATTGAATATTATTATTTTAACTCATCCATAATTTAAAGTGCAGGGAATATTTTGTGGTATAACGAATTCAAACCCGACTCACCAGCTCCGAAGTCTACAGTTCAACGATAGGGTCAACCCATGTCTCCTCCTGACGAAGTAAAGACCAAACACTAAACATAATTATACCAAAGGGAGTTAGGATATTTTGTGTTATTTCAATAGAATATATCCTTAGGATTATTTAAATTGTAGTGAAGGTATATCATACTTAGATAGCAGACATTATTTCTACTAGATTGAGAATATGTCATATTTAAACAGAATAACATGCACTTACGATTATTCCAACTGTTTAAGAGATATATTCTGTTCTTTAAAGAGGATGTATTGTTTGTTTGTTTTGAATTTCGCGCAAAGCTACACGAGGGCTATCTGCGCTAGCCGTCC